TCCACCCTTTTAATTGTATTCGCATCACCATAAAAGAAGAATCACTATTATTTATGTCGTATATATATTTCAGCGTGAATTGATTTAAAGAAGGAATTAAATTTATTGCAAAGCAGGCCCGAAGGGGCGACCCTAAAGGGTCATGACACTTATGTGTCTTGATAATCCCTCTGCATAATCAATCAGATAATCAATATGTTGTACGAATATATTGTGGCTATGTAATGAAAATTATTTTTAGAATTCCAATGCGTGTGACACATGATCATAATACATACCAGGGCTGGCTGCGTAACTCTAACTCAATTTGACGAAACTTTAGTCAATTTAATTTCGGTTTAGTCACGTTTGGCGAAACCGAAACTAGTGACTAAAGTTTCGTCAGTTGACGAAAGTGTAAAACCCTAATATAGTAATGATTGTCTTGATTATTTATCCCGTTACATTTTTAATTATAATGTAATGATAATAATGATAATAAATGTGTTTTTATTATAAATTGAAAATTTGTATTACAAAACAAAATATAACTCCAATTAATAATATTAAAAAAGACTATACCATTATATTACAATTAAAAAAATTAAAAACAACAACTTGTCAATATTAAGTTGGATTTAAATTTATTCATCCTCTGTCACCAAATTAGCAACTAATTCATGAGGATTATAATCAGTTATACCTTCTGCAAATGGACTAGTTATATCACTAGTTATATCTTGGGCTGAAATATCACTGCCTGAAATTAATACTGATAAATCAATTATTGATTCAATTGATAAATTATTATTATCAATGTTGTTATCAGAAACATCAGATAGATCCTCTTCTAATTCAAGTGATGTAAATGATTCCTCTTCTTCGAGATCCAATCCATCGATGACTGTTTCTGAGTTAGCCACACTAGAAAAATCAATATCATTATTTTTTTTTGGTACATAAAACATGGTTTTCTCAATATCTGAGATAAGATATGATCGGATTATTGCCATGGATTCCAAGTTGTCACTTGACAAAGAGTTTCTATTCAACCCATGGATCCATTTAAGTATTGAGAATGTTCTCTCACAACTTGCCTGAGAAGGTACTATTGAAAACAATTTAATTGCAAGTTGTTGCAAATAATTGTGATTATCTTCAATTGTTGTCCACCATGTAATAGGATCGTTAACATTAAATATAAAATCATAAGGGTATAAACCATCCTTAAATGAACGCATTTGCATGATGAGTTGGCTAACAGCTATATCTGTGAAACCTAACCTTGAAACATATGAAACAGCAATATCACATATTCGACGAAAATTTCCTTGTTTCATGGCATACCCTATAAATATATAGGGTGATTAATTATCATTATTTAAATCATTATAAATATAATATATTTTATAGATAATATTACCTTTATGTTTTGGATGCAAAAAGTAAGCAAGCAGATAAAGGTCAATTTCAAAAGAGTTAAATCTGGAGTTGAAAATTTTAATAATTTCTGATTGTAAATTCATATTGTTTGGTAATTGTTTAATTGCCAAAGCAAGATACACAAATCCTAAAAAACAATCTGAAAGATTGGCACTTCTTCGTTCAAGGCAATGAATGATTTGTTTGATTGGTTTAAAAATTTGTGAAATAATTCGTACATCATAAAAAAATCCTTGATTAGACATTAATGCTGCAACATCTCTATTTGTAACCACACTCCTATTTTCCTCAAGAATCTTTTTTTAATAATAATTATGAGTTATTGTTTATAAATTAAGTAAATAAAATAAGATAAGATAAAATAAGATAAAATACCTTTGCAAAAACTGGTTGGGATATTAAGACAGAATTTGTTGTATCAAACAATGACCCCCAGCGTATCTTGGAATATGACACAAGAAAGCCACCAGATATATTCATTGATTTCAGACCTTCATGGAGCAATGCATTTCCAATGTGGGATTTTTTAAAAAAACTCACCAATTTTCCAACTTTTGAAATTATTTCAGCCACAAATTCATTTTTCGCCATATCAGTAGCAATCAAGTTAATTGTATGTGCAATGCACCTAATGTTGAAAATAAAATATTTTGTAGGATTTACATATATATTCTAAAAAATCTGTGTTGAAGATTTTTTTAATCACAAAGAATTACAAAATATTTACAAATTTGTAAATATTTTGTAATTCTTTTTGTCATGTGATTGGTTTTATAATACAAAAAAAGCATCAAGTTGCTGAAAGAAAACGAAAGAGTCGTGGACATTTTCCAAAAGATTTTGATGTGTCATAGAAATGCAAACCTTTAATCTTTGGATAAAAAATAGATTTGATATTTTCTAAAATTTTCTTGTGGAAATGCATTGCAGATATTTTTTCTTGCACCTCTGATGTTGGATGCATGATCAGTCACCAAACCACAGAAATTGTTAGGACCAATTTCTTCTAAAATTGATTTGATTTCAGAAGTCAAAAAATCAGCTGTTTGTGACACTATACTATAATTTTTTAATTTGAATAAATATTCTTCTTTGCTTTGTGTGAGGATTACAAAACTATACAATACTCCACCAGACGGGGTTGTCCAACCATCAAGGGCTATTATTAATAAATAATATTAACAGAAAAATTTTGAAATTTACAAATAAATTAATAAAAAATTATATATTTTCGTTACCCAACGTCATATTTCTTTCACTTTTTACAAGTTTATTAAGTTTAATAGTAATTCTAGCAATTTCTTGATTAAGAAGTTGACCTGATAATTCTTTACGTGTAGCTGGATCATATCCAGGTTTAGCCAACTTCATAAAATCCATAAAAAATGGGTTAGATACAACATTCCAAGGTATCCCACATACAACAAATGCACGTAACAAGGCCTGATCTAATTTTTGTTTTTGTTCAATATTGCAATTAGTATTTTCATAATATGAATGTAAATTATTATTGGTTTTCCTTTTTTTTTTAGAGCTAGAGGAATTCCTTGAATTTGTTGCTGTACTTATTGACATTTTATCTTCAGACTCAACATCTGATACTGAATTTTTAGTTGCAAGTTTTTTTAAATATATTTGAGAAATTTCTCTATCAACTTTTTCACATTTAAGTGCAAGATGTGCTTCTAATTTATCTGGAATTCCTCTTCTCCAAAATTTCAAGCAATATCTACATTTTGCAGTATAGTGACCTTTTGATTTAGATGTATTTTTTTCAAAATATTGCCATACATCTGAAGAAGGTCGTCCACCTCTAATTATATTTGTAGTAGTAGTAGTAGTATCTTCAACTAAATTAATAGGATGTTCAATATTTACACCTATATCATCATCTCTAAAACAATGAAAACTTATGTAAATAAGTTTATTTATATTTATATTAATATTAGTTAATATGAGTTTATTATTTATTTATTATAATACCTACACATTATAAAATGCCATAGTTTTTTAATAAGAATTTTTTTATTGCTGCTGCTACTACTAATACTAATACTACTGTTGCTACTGATAACAATGATGTAAAAAAATCCACTATGATGATTTTGAGATGGTAATGATAATGATATTCGATATATACAGTGGTGTGCAAAAAAAATGACAATTTTTAAAATTATTATAGTTTCACAACCATCACACCAATTTAACTGTACAACATATTGTTTTAAAGCTAAAAGGCAGCAGATTTTATTAAAAAAAATTAATATGATATCCTTTCACCATTTTTCTCAATAACTTCATTACAACGTCGTGGCATTGAATCTACAAGACTAATTAGAAGACTATTTGGAATTTTGTCCCATTCCTCACCAAAAAAACTTTCTAATTCAGTAAGATTTTTGGGTCTACGCTTCTCCACGTTTCTTTTAACAATGGCCCAAAGGTTTTCAATTGGATTTAGGTCGGGACTATTAGAGGGCCAGTCCATAACCTCTGGGACATTATTACCAAGGAATTCCCGGGCAATACGGCTAGTATGCTTAGGGTCATTGTCTTGCTGTAACCGCCATTCACCCCTCAGCATACTATTTATCTCTGGGATATGCTCTTCCAATATTTCTGTGAAATATTTTGCATCCATTATGCGCCTAAAACAAGTTAGACTTGTTTTACCTTTTACACAGAAACCACCCCATGCAAATATTTTGCTTCGGTCTTTTGGCATAGGGCGAATTGGTCTTGCATTCTTATACCAATGCTTTATTGTATTACGAAACAATTGGAAAGATGTTTCATCACTAAATAATGTCTTTTCCCAATTGTCATCTTTGTGTTTTTGTGCCCATTCAACACGTTTTTGCTTATGGACTGATGTGAGCATTGGTGTAGAAAGGGGAAGAGCATTACGGTATCCAAGGTCAGTCAGGTGTCTTGATACTGTTGAGCGAGAGACGTTTATTCCAGTATCCTCCAATTTTTCAGCAATAGATCCAGCAGAAAGTGTAGGATTCCTTCTAATATACTGGCCAATTGCACGGGAAGCATTGGTTGTTATTTTCTTAATACGACCATTACCACCTTTGTGCTTTACATCTCCAGTTTCTTCAATTTTTTTAAGGTTTCGATAGATTGTTTTAAGTGGAAACTTTGTCAAAGAATGTATTTCAGCAGCTGTTCGTGTTCCCTGCTGCCAGAAGTGTAATATCATTTGACGTTGGGATTCTTGCTTAGATGCAACCATTTTGATGTTTGATAAAATATAAATTTTATTAATTGTTAGAAAAAATGATACTTGGAAATGATAGAGTAATTGTTAAGCCTTTATTTCCGTATTTAATTGTATCTTTATGACCAAAATTGAGGAAGTTACACTTGTTGATCTTTTTCCAAAAAGATTGTCATTTTTTTTTGCACACCGCTGTATATATATTTTCATAATTGGTATTGATTTATAAAGATTTAAAACATTTGAATAAATATAGGAAGTTTGGAAATCTTCTACTAGAAAACTCTTGGAAAATAGATATATTTATCCAAATGAAACTGGCTTTAAAGATTATTTCATTAGTATTATAAATGAGCAATATGACTCAAAAAAAAAAAGAGATCAACAACACCCAGCAATTCAAAAAGTCATGAGAAATATTTTGCTAAAATATGTAATTACTATTATCTAGGGGTATGGGGGGACAACTCAAGGTTACACATACATTTGTCAATTTCAAAACTGTCACCCCATATGAAATTCATAGTATTTATTAGTAAAAATAAATAAAACGCGAAACACGTTCATATTTGTACACAAAAATTCACAAATTAATCACGGTTAAAATTTTCATACTTGTGAGAGAAAATCTTCAGCTTTATTTTGATATAGGTTTTTTCAAAATATTTTTTCTAAAGCTTTTAAAAAATACCATCAGTCCAAAAATTTCAAAAATGGCAAGAATTTTTCAACATTACGCGTTTTAAATTTTACAATTAACTTCAAATTAACTTTAAATTTTTTGTTTTATGACATTAATAGAAACATATACTTGAAGAAAACGTTGAAAGTAGCCCCCTTTCAGAAAACAAAAAAATAAAACAACTAGAAGCTTTGCAAGAACTTATTCAAATACGTCCTGATCTTAAAGGAAAGTCGGTTTACTTTTTTTATAAATCTAATAAATTTGTAGAGGGAATTTTGATTTATGATAGAAGTGAAAATATGTCATATGTATATGATCCAAAAAGTGGAAATAAGTTCAATTCTTTTTTTCAATGGTTAAATGTTCTTAAAAAGCAAGGTTTGTTCAATGGGGAAAGGTCTGCAATTGCTACAATTTTTTTAGAGCCTGTTACTTCCAGCCCTAACCTTGCATCCATATTAAGACCATCTGTTCAATTACCTTATTGGAAGAATAACTCAACTGCAAGTATTTTAGACGTTACATCATCAATTAAAAATAAAATTAAATTAAATGGTAAATTATTTGGAACTGGATTAAGTGAAATTGAAAAAGGCTTAAGATTAATTTTTTTTGGAAGTGAAGGAAATGTAGAAAAAGATATGACCATTGTTTGGAATGGAAATTTAATCTCATATGAGGTGAATGTATTGGGAAAAGTGGTGAAGGATATTGACTTAATAAGACCAGGAGTTGCAGCAGAAAGAACATTTACAGATGTAGAAGAGGCAATTGAATATGTATTTGATGCAAAAATTTGTAATGGAAAATCTACAAAAGGTATTTAAACCCTATCTTGATATTTTAACAGCCAATTTTATTAAAAAATTATTGTTTCTTTATTTAGGATTTGAAGAAGTAACACGTAATCGAGGCCTACAACTTGTAAACAATAAGCTTGGTCCTGATGGTACTCATGAGCCTTTTGCATTTTTGGAAAACAAAGGAAAACCCAATGAAATTTATCGTCGAGTAGATTGTCATCTTCTTGTAGATTTAAAAGGTGCATGTGAAAACTGCAAAAAATTAAAGAATACCTTGATAAAAATACGTAGTAGATATCTCACTGGTACAAAATCTGTGAAAACAAATCATGCATCACAAGAAATCCTTAGTGAAGCTGTTCAAGAGCAACGAAAGGTAATTTTTCTGTGAATTTGGAATTGTAAATTATTACCATTTTAGAATTAACAATTGTTTTATTAATTTTTAATCAAAGGTTATTAAAAAATCCAACAAAATTATAGAATCTTTAAAAGACCAACTAAAAAGGAAAGTAGAGAATGAAGAGGAAGAAGTATCAGAAGAAATGGCAAGTATTGTTGAAAAAATTTCTACAAATATTTCAAACAATGCAACAGATATTTTATCACTCAATCCTATTTTTCAAGAGCTCATATGTATACAATGTGGAAAACCAAAAGGGACAAGATATCATCCTATGTATGTTACTTATGTTACTATAATGATTTAATAAAAAGGAAAGAATTATTTATTTTTCAACTTTTAGGTTTTTGTGATGGGCTATTTCTGTTTACAGTCGTGGAGGTAATGCTGCTTATGATTCTTTGAAGGGGATAATGCGTTTACCATCAGTATCAACCCTCAAGAGCTATATAAATGAATATGAGCAAAAGTCTGGTTGGCAAGATGAGACAGCACATCGAATTCTGTGTAGTTTGGCATTAGAAAATGTATGGGGTCATGGTCGAATTGGATTTTTTTCTCATGATTCTTTCAAAATTCAAAAAGGTTAGTTTATGCTGGGAAATAATTGAATAATTAAAGTACAAAGTGACTAATTTATAATTAAATTGATAGGACTTCTTTGGAGCCAACGTAGTAATAGTTATGTTGGTTACTTAGATTTTGAAGATGAAGCTCAAGATTTAAAATCATTTGCTATAAATTGTGAAAAAGAATTAAATGCAATGGGAAGCAATACTATTTCACCTGACCATATATCAGAAAAATATGAACATGGTCTGGCAACACAAGTTCACCAAATTGTCTGGCATTCAATAACACATAATTTTTCTTTTCCATTATCATATTATGGAGTTAATACATTGTCAACTCATGATCTGAATACTTTATTATTTGGTCTTGCTGCAAAATTGGAATGCATTGGAATCCATACTTGTGGCTCAGTTTGTGATGGAGCTAGTGAGAATCGAAATCACATAAAAAGTTTTGATTGGTTTGCTTCGACCTGGTCTGTTGGTGATATTGTGGAAGTTGTTATAGAAAAAGGTAACTCTTATTCTGCTAAAATCCTAAATGCTAACATTGATCATACAAAATTTATTGTCCAAAAGCTTGATCAGGAATTTACTGAAGGGATCACTATTGATTGGAAATTTTTAAGACCTGTTATTGGAAGCCAACTCTCAATTAATGAGGATCAAAAAATAGTAAGTGAACATGATATCTGGTCATGGCATAAAACATTGAATCCAATTACAGGAGATCCATGGTTTTTCATTAGCGACCCAACTCATGTTTTCAAGAAGCTTCGTAATAATTTATCAAAGAGTCATACAGGACAAGGTAGCGAAAAAAATGTGCGTGAAATTATGTTTGATGGTAAAGAAGTCAGTTGGAAACATATTAAAGGAGTTTATGATTATACTAGCTGTCATGCAACAGCTAAGGCAACAAGGCTAACCAAATGTCATATCTGGTTAACATCTTGGAGTAAGATGCGTGTTGATTTAGCTGAACAGACTCTTTCAAAGGATGTTGAAAATGCATTAGAAGCTATTGAAGAATTGAAAGATATTTCTGAAGGAACAAGGGTAAGAACCATTTTTTTCTATCTTTGCCAAAATCATTCTATAAATTCTATCCTATTATTATTAACATGTATCTTTACAGAAATTTATTAGAAATTCAAGATATTATAGACATATTTTTCATAGCAAAATTAGTTTCATAAATATGGAAGATCCACGAATTAAAACATTAAAAAATATTCATGATTGGTTTTTGCTAGGTGATAACCAAAAAAAAGGAGCCATGGAATGGATTTCATCTCAATGTCAATTTGATTTGATTTTGTCCATAAATGGCTTTCTTGGGATGTTAGAATACATTCTATCAAGATATAAAATTGCAGCTATTCAACCACGAAGAATTTCACAGGATATGTTAGAAGGATTGTTTGGGACCATTCGTGAACTCAGTGGAGACTCCTCAACACAAACATTGCAAGGGTATGGTCATGCTTTAAATAAATATCAAATAACTGCATTAGAATCATCAGAAGTTAAAAGTTTTAATTATGGAAATGCAAATAATGTTGGTAGTGGAATGCATTTCCTATCAAGAAGGTACAGCATGCTTTTATTTGGTTTTTTCAATGAATTTTCATAATTAATAATGATATTTAAATTGATTTATAACTTAGAGATTATCGAAAACAAATGTCAAATGAAAGCAATCCAGCACTTGTCTCTTTAAATCTCCATTCATCACGCCTAGTAACTTTATCTCTCCTATCTCAAAAAATTTTTGAAACTCTGCTCCAAGATGATCTACTTATGGGAAGAATTGCACCTCTATCAAACTCATTAAATGAATATATCAACAATGAAAACTTAAGTATTCTTAATTCTAATGTAAAACGGTATGAACTTATTGAATTTCTAATTTATCATAATTCCATTGATGTTTTATTACAAAATTGGCAGAATGAAGTTAGACTGATTGCACAAAGTGCAATTCCAAAAAAAAGAGGAGTCAAATGGATGTTAAGATGGAGCTCCAACTTAGAAAATCGTCTCAACAATTACTTGTGTTCTGGAACTTGGTTTGTGTATTTTCAACAAGAATTTCAATTATCACAATTTTCACTTTCTGTTCAACGAATTGTTGCCTTTTCAATGTTGCAAAAAGTAATTCTAGAGACATTTAAAGGTAATGGCACAAAAAATGTTGAATTTGAAAAAGGAGCAGACCCCAATTTGTTGCCTCAAGTAATTGTAAATTTAGATCCTGCAGAAGCTTCAAAATTTGCATATATTGTTGGATGGGTTCTATTTAAGCTTACAAAAGATGACAAAGTAATGATGTCTCATCCAAAATTTGGAATTATGCGTTCTTTACTTAAGAATCTTTGCTCAGAAAATGTAGAATATGTACATGAAATTCATTCACAAACAACAAATATCATACCTGGACCAGAAATCATGGACTTCATGTATCATTTTGAATCCATAATAATTCAATTATTTGAAAAACATCATGAGCTTGGTCCAAATATTTTACATTACATAAGAATCAGCCTGTTAAATAACTTACATTTGCATGAAAAATTTTCATCATTATTGAAATTTGCAATTCAAGATAATATTAGTTCTGAAAATTTTGAAGGTAAGTTGACTTTGTCAAATGAAGATCTGATTTTTTTATTTGAAAAATTAGTTTCTACCTACATGAAAAGCTGGCAAAAAACATGGAGACAACATAATGGTTACATACCAGAGAAAGGTACAGCAAGCCTTAGGGAAAATCTTAAGGTTATGCGTTCAAATAACCAGAATCTTTCAAATAATGAGAAAGGTAAAATATCTAATCAAATAAAGAAAGCAAACTTACCAACAGATCCAATGCTTGCACTTGTTCAGCTTCAAGTATGGGCACATCTTGAAGATGTAGAAAATCAATTTGCAAAAAATTTTTTAGTTACAGATCTGCTCTGGTTATTATGGGCATTTGGAGTTAAAACATCACAAAAAAGAAAAAATACATTGGTTCCTTTACTTATAAGTCATTTGAAAAGTGAAACACCTTTTAGTGAAGAAGCATTAGCAAAAAAGAATATATTTGCACTTGAGTAGAAATACAGGAAAGTATTTTTTAAAGTTAACCACAAAATATTATTCAAATCAGTAATTATTCTTAAAATTGTAATTGAAGAACAAAAAAAATTTTATTTAAAGATTTTGTTTTTTTCCTATCACTCATTGCTTTCCTTCACAGTAATAATAAGTAATGTCTTAAATAAAAGCTTCATTTCTTAACAAGAATAAACTTTTTCATTTAAAAAGTTAAAAAAAAAATTCTATTGAAAGCGTGTATATATAAATATATATTAAATTAGTAATTAATGTTAAATTTTTTTTATAAAATTCCTAATTTCTTTAAATTAAATGCTTACTAGTGTATAAAACAACTTTCCTTCTTGAAGAAAATAAAATCTTTTCATTTGAAACTGCCAAAAAAAAACTTCATTATAAAAACGTATATAAATATTATATATATTATGTAATTAATAAATAACAATGTCATTCCAAGCCCAATCGAAACAAGACTTGAGAAGTGTAAAGTTTTCAACAATAATAACTTAAATTTTTTGCATCGGCTGTTCAAACATTCTTGTGTGTAAAGTTTTATATGTAAAGTTTTCTTTTTTACTATGAAACGTAAGACATTTTTAATTTTTGAAGGGGTGACAGTTTTGGAATTGGAAGATCGGCAAATATCTATATGTGCTACTACTACATTGAGTTGTCCCCCATACCTCTAGCTTTTAGCATCCAACTACGTTGATGTTGATCACCCCAAATTATTAATTAAACAAACCTGAATATGAAGTGTAGTTCGAAAATTTTATATATTTCTAAATTTTAGGGATCATTAGAGATGAAAAAGATTATCTTGTAGTGAAAAGCATACAAACAACATGTGTTTATCTAGAATTACCAAGTCCGTAGGATGATTTAAAGTCATGTGCAACTTTAGAGTTGCTAAATAAGCAAATCTTTAATTAAAAAAATAGAAATTTATGCTAACCAAATCAGGCTTGCATTTTGTGGCTGCTTCAATAAAACTGACTCGAAGAAACTATTAGAAAGGTTTCAAAAAAATGTAAAATTATAATATTATAAAATAAATTTAATTATTTTTACACTATCATAAAGCTTGCTCTTTAAAAATGTCATTATAACAAGATTGTTATTACAACAAGCTATCATATCTATTTATCAATTGCATTTGTTTCATATTTTCATATTTCCTTGAAAATAGAATGTGGATAAAGCGATGATGAAACTACATAATCATTATTATTTTTTTTGTCTTTTGTTTTCATTATATTTTTGGTTGCTGAGCCACAAAATGAAGTGAGATTATACTATCACCTTTGTAAGAAAAGGTAGAATGTATATGAGTGATGATAATGAAATTGCATAATTGTTAATATTGTTTTATAAAAATTATCCATTTGTTTTCGTTTTCGTTGAGCCATAAAACAAAGTGAGATTGTACGATCACCTATGTGAAAAAAAAATAGAATGTGGATGAAATGATGATTATGTTTTTATAAAAATTATCCTTTTGTTTTTGTTGTAGTTTCAAGCTTGTATCATAGTATGTGTAATGAGAAAAAGAATGTGGATAGGGTGATGATGAAACAGCAGAACCATCATTATCTATTTTTTTTGTTGTAGCTTTGGTTGTTGGACAGTAAAAATATAATTTTTAGTAGTCGGTTTTCATAAGTTGTTAATTTATGTTTTGAAGAGTTATTATTGCTAATACTTTAAAGTAACTTTACATTTCGTTCGATTCATTATTTCCAAGCATCATTGGCTTCCTTTGAAAGAATTTTCCAATCCTTTGTGTTTTGCGATATAACTTTTACAATACAAGGAAAAATAGTTTTGAGATTTTGGGATGCCTATAAAATCAACATCAGTAGGATTAGCTAAATAAATTCAATGATGAGGATTGAATATGAGGCAAATCTCATCACTGTAGAGTTTTGCTTTATCGATATATAATGATAATTCAGGATCCATGTGTGTTGTGTAAAATATATTATTTTAAATAACTCGAATAAAAAAAACTTGTGATATTTAGGGTAATTATTTTTTTGGGGGGAAAGATAAATTATTAGAAAAGCTGGTTTATCATGTGCAAAATTGTACTTCTTACACCTGAGAATTAATTTATTAACATGTGAACAAAAAACAAATATTCATAAAAAAAAAAGTTTAAAATATTGATATGATCCAAATTTGCTTTTTTTTAAAAATTTCCACAAATTTGCAATAATGGCAAAGTATATCTTCCTTGGTAATCTTTCCATGATTTCCCACGAATATGATGCATTTCTGGGGAAAACATGGAATTTTAAATCAACGGAACAGTTTTTTTTATCTAAAATTGAAACTATGTGAATTCGAAATTTATAATCAAAATTTTGGGGTGGGGCGTTTGGATATGAAATCCTGATTGGCTAATTTGAATTTCACATATGTGAATTGCAAATTCATTTTCAAAAAAAAACCGCTCATATGATTCGAAATGGTTAGATCGAGTACTACACGTGCGTATATGTCTGTCTGCCAATGAAATGTGACATCCCAAAATTTTCCAAAATTCCATATCGTCAATATATAGTCCAAAAGATTGAAAATGATCATTACCATAAATACTAAAATACGAGGTAAAAATAATTAGAAGAAAGGTAAAAATTAAAATCTATTTTGTATTATTCAATTCCTGAGTAACATAATCAGGAATTCCTTATACTTCTTCACTGCATATTCAAACCACTTTCCTTCAAATCCATGCTTATATTTTTGTTCTCTTCTTCGATATCTTCTACATTGTCCCAACCACTCTCACCATTATTTCCCATTACTGTCAATAACATTCAAATTATCTGATTTTTTTCCTTTATTTTTCTGCATCACATTTTCTTCATCATCAATTTTATTATTAGTATGACATACTCTTTTCGATAAATATTTACCTTTTTCATCCCTTGGTTTATCTCTATCTTGTCTTTTTTTTCTTAGAAAGTGGAGGCATTTTTGTTAAAAAAATTATATTGGTATTAATATTTTTACGTGATTTTTATTTATCAATTTAAAAGTTTTCACATAACAAGCGATCTGATTGGTCTAAAATTGAAATTATTGGCGTCTAATTTACTATCAACTTCCGACAATCAAAAAAATTAATCCATGGGATTGAAAGAGAGAGAATCATTTAAACTATCATTTTCATGGTTCATTTTTTTGGTGTGACAAAAATAGTGAGACTAAATACAATTGAAGTCACATGAAAGTTTTGACGTAGATTTATTATGCTTAGTGTGTTACAATGTAGGCTACACACCATCTTATCTTATTTGACAATCTTTAATATATATTATTACCATTTTTGTCATTAATAGTAATATAAAATAAAAAACAGAATATTACAAGTAATATATAAAAGATTGTATATATATAAAAATAATGGGTATACTCATGTACATATGGGCCATGAGGTAAAATTAAATTTACATATAAGATGGATATATTATTATGTATTTTAAATACAAGCTTATAGTAAAGGAATGTTATTGAAAAAACATATGCGTAGCATTTATTTTTGAAGTGCATCCTGCTTCATATTGATCGATTATTAATTACCACCCAATGCAAAGACAAAGGAAGCTATTTATTATGACTTTGTGTATACATACATACGTTTTATAAAGGATTCATATCCAACTACGTTGGATGTTTGACCATCCTAAATCAATGTTGCAATTTAAAAATAATGTTTTTATTCATTAATAATTTTATTTTTTATTCATTATTTTTTATTAATATCAATAAAGAAAACCAAATTCCCGAGATTAAAACAAGTTTATACTGTTTAAAGTTGTACATATATAAAAGCTTGTAAATAAGGGTCTGATTCATTTCGTCGACAATAATTTCGTCGACACCCATTTCGTCGAAAGTTCATTTTGTCGAAAGTTTGTTTCATCGAATGTTCATTTCGTCGAAAATTATTTCATCACAAAAAAAAAACTTCATTAAACAAATTTCTCCTCACACTTCCCACACACTCCGCTTTTCTCACCTAATTTCTTAACTA